CCCATTGGGAAAACTCCCCAAAGTAATGTATTATCGTTAAAGGACCGCAAGGGATATACGTTGAAGGTGGTTGCAGACCTTTACCCCGTCACTTTACTTTGATAACTTGTGCTTAAATTAATCTTCTATCTTACTCTTTCCTATCCTCGATATCCAATAAGAAGAAACTATCTCTTAATAAATGAATCCTTAAATCTCTGACACACACACACAAAGTAAATGAAGAGGGAAGGTAGGATATGATCAAAGTGACCGCGAGAAGAAACGATACAAAGTAACGGCCAACGAAAGATACCCGTATAATCGAGTCTTACCACATACACATACATACATACGCGCACACGTTTCCTCTCGTGTACCTTTGATTAGAATTTCTTTGGCCCCCATACTTGTCTATATGAGCGTGTCATTTAGGATGAAGAAGACCGATGCGGGCTCTCTCGTGGGTCACCGACGATTAGGCCAATTTAATGGAACCTTCAACAACGTCAAATCGTGAACGAACAAGCAAGGATAATCATGATGATGATCCCACATGTCTCCTTTCCACTATAATTAATGTCTAATATACACGGTTATGCAATTACGTTTGAAAATATAATAAATAATGAAGATATCAATTGTCCATTAGCGTATTTCAATAAGGTCAATATATAATCGTGTAACTCTGATATATAGGGTCATTCACCGATCTTTTGTGATAAGTCTAGACATCATAAATAATCAAGCACGATATTCGGGCTTTTGATTGGCTTTCGATCCAAGAGAGAGAAAGAGAAAGATTGAGTTTGGTATAGGCACGAGACTGAAACTTGGATCGATCAACGGTATCGCAGATGACTGCAATTAGTGTTCGAAACGCGGAGGGTAACATACAAGTAGGTGTAATACGCGCGTTAATTACCTGGCATGTTTAGCATGCATTACGCAGCCCAGGTGCACTATGGAGGAAATGCGTATATCTACGAACTCCCGCGACCCTTAGGTATTTGCACGTGCACCTACGGCTGGAATTTTCATTTCGGCCGTTAGCAATGTGCTTTTCATATTGAGCTGCTAGGTAGCCAGCCAGCCAGCCAACCAACCAGCCAGCAAGCCGTCTTCGATCAAAGTTCAAATACACGCATTCAACCATACTTAACAACTTTCTCTAATTTTGATGATGGCCTTTAATCAATGTCAACTATTCAGATAATGTTGCATTCAATTTATCTACCTATTAGATCAATCTAACGGATTTCATGCTTTTCTCTCATCAGTTGGAATTTCTAAATGATTTATAATTAATGTCCAAACACGTTGAACCTATCTTTTTGATATCAATGAAATATATTAGATTATGTTTTTGTATAATAGGAAAATTAATAATTTTCACGTATTCTAGAAAATAATCGCAATGTTAATCTTTGTAAGGATCAATAAATAAAGTTAATAAAGCCGAATTGTGTGATAAATAATGTGTTAATCATTTGCCTATATTGAATATTTAATCGATACAAGAAGATACGACTGGAGATTTGCGGAGCATAAAATTTCAATGATGACCTTTTGCTGGAGTATAACGTCGAGGAAATACATAGAGACCGAGCATCATTTCCGGCCACAAATATAATACTACCAATTCAGTGGTCGAAGAGCATAAATGGGATAGAGATAGAAAGAGAAAGAGAAAGAGAGAGAGACAGAGAAGCCAAGATAGGTACGACGCCAATATTTGCACGTAAACGGTAATTTGTTTATGCTGGTTTCCCTGATGGTAAATTTACGTTCGACCCAGGACGCTTTCGTTGCACACGAATAAGAAGGAGAGAGAGAGAGAGAGAGAGAGACATCCTTTACGAATCGAATCCTCAAACAAATTGTCATCTTCCGTTATAGATCGATGCAATTCTCGCTCAAGTTTTTTTTTCTAAAATGAGAAAAATAAATGTATTAAGAATTGATGAGATTCATTTGAAAGTTTTGACAAACATATACTGCCAAAGGAAATCGAAAAAAGAAAATAATTCATTCATTGAAACGAGAAATATAAATGTAAACGTGTTTTTTTTTTAGCCCCGTCATGCAGAAAAAAGTAGTTACCATTTGTTATTTAACCATTTAACTATGGTGATTCCAAGTATCAAATCAAGTCAATCATAGCTAACTGATTAAAAAATGAATTAACGAAGAATTTTTAAAGACGGGATCTTGCGGAAACGCGATGCAGAGAAGAATGATCGTGCGCAAGCGCTCGTGAATGGAAGAACCGGAAATAGAAGGAGGGCAAGTTTGAGAGGGGTGGGAGGAAAACGTAGAGGAGAGTCTTCTTCTAATGGGGAGTCAACAAACAAAAGCGAATCGATTTGAAATAATGGCACGCAGGACGAATGGCATAAGGCGTGAAGTGGGGAAACTAAGGAAAGAGTGAGAAGAGAAAAAGGGATGAAATGGCGGGCAAGGGGGGGGTGGGGAATGGGGGTGAGGTTGGGAGGGGGAGGAAGAAGAGATCCAAGAGAGAGTTAGAGAAATGGGGTGGAAGGAGGAGAAAAGGGACAGTGACGGGCGGCTTGCTTGCTTGCGAGCAGCCGCACCGCACCGTACGACAAATAAAAGCACTCAGCTTGCGAAGCTTTATCCTTATACAACTGTCAGACGTCTTAACACCCACCCGTGGCGTCTGTTCTTTCTCGTGAGAAACTCTACTCTATGTATCTCGAAATAACTTCCCTGGAAGATATCAACAAAAGAGACCAGGTCGTAAACTCTGATTAAGATCCATGTAATCATCGAGGATAAGAACCATGATTTAAAAAAAATCATAAAAGCGAATAAAATTTAGGAAACCCTTCATCGAACGTAGATTTAGATTCTTATGAATTGTATTGTTACACGCACGAGAACGTGATTTTGTGTTTAAAGTGCATACACAAAAAGAAGCCTATAATACTTAAAGAAAAGATGATGGTAAATCTCGAAAAGTAGTCTGATAATTAAATGGTATTAAGAAGCGCGATACGTTCCGAGCGTTCTATGAACTAAAGTAATTAAAATCAAACGCCAGGTCGCATTAGAGATGAAGAAAAGCAAAGTGAAAGACACGCGACGATGAGTAGAAGGTGAAGAAGAAGAGAGGTGGATGGAAAGTAAAGATGGGGGAGTGTGAGAGATAGTGCTGGTTGATAGTAGTAGTAGTAGTGGTGGTGGTGGGGTGGTGGTGGTTTTGAATGACGAGGGAGGTAGAGGTGGAACGGGTAAACAGGGCGCAATTAACGTGCAACCGTTAAATATGTACGCGAACGGGTTGCTGCGCCGGCGTGCATGTATGGGAGGGTGGCATAAATGCATTGCTAGATCGGACATTCGATGCGTTGCAGTAGCAGCAGCAGCAACAGCAGCAGCAGGAGTAGCAGCAGCAGTAGCAGGAGTAGCAGTGGTAGCAACGGTAGCAGAAGCAGCCATCTCTTCCTATAGCCTGTTGGCACAGCCGCTTGATTAGCTCCGCCATATTTACATATCATTAGCCGATTGTTTGCCCGCGTCGGGGATTCCGGGGTTCCCCAGGCTGCTGGGTAACGTCGGTCCAGTGCCAACTACCCCTTCGTATTTCTCTCTCACTCTCTCTCTCTCCTTCACAACGATCCTACGCTAAAGTATTCGCGTGCTGCCACTCGCTAAATTACGACTATGTATACTTATTCATTTGCAAAAGCTTGCAAACCGTCTTCCCTAATTCTCTCTCTCTCTCTCTTGCTTGCTTCCTATCGAAATTCATCCGATATGCCTTGGGCGCCAGAAGGAAAATATAAGCATCCCGTTGATTCTATTTGATCCACAAACTAGCAATACTAACCGATTCGCTAACGTGTCCTTTAAATTACATGATCATCAAACTTCCTCGACTTCCCCTATGTCAGCCCCCATACGGTCCTTGACCTCTCGATACTCCGACCAAACGCGATTCTACTACTCTACCCTGGTCTAGTCTAGTCCGTGATATTTCCAAGTGAGAACCCCTCAAGTTCAAAGGGAATTAATTTTCATTCGGAAGTAGGAACGATTCAAGCTATGGTTCTAGCGAAAGAGAAGATATAGAGAGAGGAAACGGTCGTTCGTTCGTTCGTTCGTTCATTCGTTCGTTCATTCGTTCATTCATTCACTCACTCACTCACCTAGAGAACGCTTCAGCAAAATCTCTTTGGTGCCTCTGGAGAAATTGGTCTGTAACCTGTAAATCTTTCTGTGAATCATTCTCGGTACTATCTAATTATTCCTGTATACATATGCTTGATAAATATGTTCGTTATTTCGATACAAAGGGAATATTATAAATATAAATAATAAAATTAATCTACGGATGATAATAATAATAATAATAATAATATAGAGGAAAATAAAATTAATAAATTTTTTTCCAATTATTTCTTTCCTAATGGAATCGATAACGTCAATTAGTAGGAAGAGGGAATAACGAGGAGACTTTGTTGGCCTTATATATGTATGCATACTTTGTGTAAGAATGAGATTACTAGAGAGATATATATACAGGGTGTTCTATAATTAACATATATATATGTGATATAAACGAGCAGAGGGTGACTCTACGTGAAAAACTAAGTCGAAAATATGAAATCAAATTTGTTCATATAAATCTTTTTGGGGAAAAAAATATATTGGAAAATTTATCAAGTATGCGTCACTCGATTTAGTTACAATTCGATGGATTTCACTATCCTATTCTTGAATATTTCCAAAAGCACTTTTATGCTTCTTAATATGTTTATAATCATTGTTAGTATGATGAAATCTCTTGTATCAGTTTTACTCGTATGCTTATCAAATAAGTTTCTAGGTTGTTTAGTTTCTAGGGTTGCAAGCCCAGTCTTTCTCGAAAACGAAGCCTTTTATGAACAAATTGTATTGTACATTTTTATGTAAAATCACCCCCTACTCGTTTGTACTACCAGTTACAGTACACCCTGTACATAATAAGAGTTGAAAGACATAAGCACTGGTAACAAGATGTAAATCAATATATTATCCTGTATTCTACAAATAAATTATATAACACCACAAAATGTACTTAAAAGAATGATTTACGAAATAATAGGGTCAACATTTTCTTTTCTTTTTCGTTATTTTTCTTTCTTTCCGCGAAAAGCATCTCTAATAAACATTTAATATTTCTATAATATTTATATTTATAAGAACTACATGTTTTTTCACTCGAATTGACGAATAACACGTCATATATTTACATGGTTTTTGTTTTTTTTATCGTTACATTTGGTACACACATGTATACGCATAATATCCAAACTTTAACTGTGTTGCAAGAAGTTCTATTAATATATATATAATGATAAAAATATAATATTAAAATAAATAACGAACACACATCTTAGAACAATGATAACATTGGTTAAAGGTATAAAGAAGATGTATTTCTAATCCTAGGTATACCATATATCTTTCAATTACCAAGACGACTAACAATGAAAAAGACGGGGATTATGCCACATTATTTATTTCATCACTCTCTACCAAATATTTGAATGTTTATAATTATTAACGATCTTTATTTTTATCTAGTCATCTATTGTGATGTAATTATCCACTTCTTTTCTTCAATAATTTAAGCAACGTAATGATGAGAGTAATATCTGAAAACCGTAACAATCCGTATTACGAGTTTATCTGTAAACGCAATAAACAGTATTTATACAAGAAAAAACTGTGGAAGTAATTTCGTACAATAGTCCTTTTCCAAATATGATCGTTTTGTCATCTATGAGAAAAATTGGTTTACATATTTCACAATGTTTTTTTTTCCTTAGATTATTAGAACTTTATATATATATATAATAATGAAGGTGATAATGATAAATTGTATAATGGTACAAGCAAAACTAACTAATTGCTACAAGCAACAAAATCCAATACAATATTTTTTTAATTATTATGAATAATGTTGTATTTTAATTTACATTGTAGTAATAAGAATATTAATAATAATAATAATAATAATAATAATAATAATAATAATAATAATAATAGTAATAGAAATTCCGTAAACTCTGAAATAAGTTGAAACGCTGCCGCAAAAGGGAGATAACATCCAATTCTCTTAAATATACAAAATTATCTATATGATGTTCTTAGAATAAATAATTTTTTTTTTTTTTATCAATGTCATGCAGTGAATCAAGCACATGATCAACAAAGATAACACTAACTGCTACATTCACTTATATCTAAGTGTAAATTTAGTGTATTTTTTATTCAGTTGTTAACGTTCCAAACTAAATTCCATGAGACAAGCTTAGAACGGTTATAGATGCTGCCATTGCATTGTCATAACATTATTTGAAGATTCAATGCCTCTTGTTACAGCCTCGTGTAATCCATGTCCAAGCCACATCTGATTTAAATCTTTATATTTTTCTTTGCATAGCCGAAGCGGGTTCCCCCTTCTTAAACCTTGATCCGTTTCTCCATATTCATCGAAATAAGGTGGACAAACGAATGATCCTCGATTTGGACTTCTCAAAAATAATATCTCACATTCGCGTACTCGTAGGAACATTCCAACTCCGGCACCGCATTTGGTCGCATGATAAGTACATGCACCTACCATAGTTTTATTCAATTCTGTTTGACAACAATAGCTTTGAGAACATAACATTTCTCCGCAAACCAGGCACATGGTAGGATTCCTCGAGTCCTCTCGATCACTGTTAGGACAAGTAAATAATGATATTGTATTTATCAATTCACTATAATCCTCGGGAAGTTCTACCAGTTTATTAACTCTCAATGGTTCTTTTATGATCTCGATTGTGCTTCTACCAGCAAGATGAGCTTCAACAGTTGGATGACTTTTCCATACTTTTACCAACCGCATGACATTTTCCATGTTGGGAGCTATCAATTCGTTGCATGTTATTGGTAATCCAAGATATGCACATATATTCTCATACGTATCGCCGCCTAATTTAGTTAATTCCTCTGGTGCTGGAACATCTGAGATAAAGTGATAATACAGTGCATAACATCTTAAAAATGGTAAGCAACCTTCCTTGATACGTCTCCATAATTCACAAGCAGTTTCATTCATGATGTTCATTCCAAGAGCTTGAGCTAATGATACAATGGTATCACAACTCTTATAATCTTCTTCTGTTACTTCGCTATCTACTTCCATACTCTCATTAAAATCAGTTGTCAGTATAATTTTTACTATCAATGATATGAATACGAGTGTCAATGCATGCAATTCAAATATACCTCCTGTTATTATCAGTGGCGGATTATCGCCTTTTGTTTTGAACAAAGATGGAAGAGAATTAATCAGCGGGATCAAAATACCTAAAGGATCCCATTCTAAGATAGATGGACCATCATGAGGATTTTCTAATAGTATCGATAAAAGAGGAAGTGCATAATTGCGGATAGTTTGTTTTCCTGACCATGTTGGACTTCCGCAAGCTCCTTTTTGAATTGTAGCTCCTAAAATGGCCGAAATTCTGGCAAGGCCTTCTAAGCAATCTCTTTGTCTGGAAGGTAAAGCACCTAACAAAGGTTTATCCGTGTCACGAATAAGAAATTCAATAGCGTGAACAGTGTATGCTGTTGATTTCCAAGCCAACAAGGGTACTCTAGAGTCCGATTCATGTGGCTCAGCACCAAGACCTTTTGTATATGTCGTTTGTGCAAATAGATCTATCATTGTTACAAGATAATCCGAGAGACATGGACCAGGTTGCGAATAAGTAGATTCAAATATAGCACCAACAGTACCAAGTAATTGGTGAAATGCTTTAATAGGACATGAAAGTGTCGTTTGTTCTACAGAATTATTATTAGAATTATATATTCCAATAACAGGAATTTCTTCACCATTTGAGCTTGTGCAATATAAACAAGCAGGATCATGAAGCTCCTGGTAAGGCTCTTTTTTCATATAGCTTCCAAAAAGTTTACAATCTAACGTTAGCATCATAGCTTCTAACCACATCTCAAAAGTCAAGTTAGATTGATTTTGAGGACGAGATTGCAATACGCCTAAAGGTGGTATTAATGGCATAACAGTATTACTCAAACCTTCGCAAAGTGGGCAAAGATACTCGTGTTTCTCAACGTCAAAACTTGCTGGTTGTCGTAATCGATATGGACGTCTATTTTCTTTAGCAAGTACATTGTCAAAATATTCTTGCCAACAATATGCGTGCATTACGTGACCGCATGTGCTGGTATGCGGCGATGCGCCTAATTTACTTGACAGATATAATGGATCAGATTCTTCTGTATTTCCTCTATATTGACATAATACAGTTGATTGTTGAACAAAAGCAGCAAGTACCATCGCTGGACCGGTTGCAGTTACAGCTTGATCTTCTTGACATAAAATGCACGTGTAGGTTTTTTCTTCTGGTAAACTACTACTCGCTTGATTATTACCACTAGCAACTGGCGATGAACTTTCGGAACATTCTGTTAAATCCATAGCCGATCCTTGTTCACTCTTACTTGCATCTGATGATGCATTTTCAAATAGCTTAGCATTCTTTTTCATAAAAAGCTTTTGCATTGCTGCCATTTGCGTCATTATTTTCGCACGTTTCAAAGCAGCCATTTTCATTCTCCATTCTTTACCATTTTTATTAGACTCTGCATCACTGGCATTTTCTGGGCTAGTTACTGTAGTAGAAGCAGTGGTAGATTCTACCATACTAGAACCAGCTACTTCTCTGTATTTGGTAAGAACCCAAGTGAGTAAATCTTTATGTGCCTCTATACGTGGACTATTTTGTAAATCTTCAAGTAATTTATAAATGTTCCATTTAACAGCTCTTTCTGTGAACACCAGAAAAGGATAATAACCCGATTCCTGTTCTTGAAGCGCGTATCCTATAAGATGAAGTATTTTGTGGACTTGTGGTTCGGAAAAACTTCTTGCTACAAATGTTAGGGCACGTTGTAATACAGTCTGCATAATATGAAGCATTACGTCACATTGCAATAAATTTGCAACTAAACTGAACGCCTCCGTTAATTTTGGGAGTTTTGGTGGTGGACAACATTCTAATTCACCAAGAGCTTTCCTTCGTTTTCTTTGAGCTTCTTCAGATCTACTAAATTCTTCCTTTGTGTAGTGATAAAAGAACACATTATATTCCGAATATAAATGAGGTTTCAATAATTCGTATACACCTTTACCAGCTGATGTATTTGGGGATTTCTTAAAATCTGCTACATCGTGAATAACTCTTTCCATGCCTGTTTCAAGATGGGCATCATCCGGTAAAGTCTTATTTAATTCAGAATGAGATAGAGGTTTTATACATAACTGTTGTATTATTTCCTTTTTTAAACGATCGTCAGCAGTAACTTGTCCGACTCCAGGTACGTATCTCTCTCCTATAATGATTATAAGTAAATTAAGAAATTCCTCAACCAAATTAATTGTTTGTCTGATGCTATCTTCTTCTGGATTTTTTAACGCATTAGTTTCAAAATTTGGATCTGCCCAATTGAGAAGATTATATTTGTTCAAAATATGAATAAGAAATTCATTGCTCTCAATAAGAGACGCCCCGGCTTGTAATAAAATAATATCTCTATCTAACATCTCGCTGCGACACTTAACATTGTGATAAAAATACAATTGATTCAACAACGAATATCCATTTCTTCTCCACATTCCGGCATGTACTTGTGATATCATAGCTTGTGCTGTTAATACAGGTTCAATAATTTGTTCAGGTGTTGGTCTTGGTTCATTTATAAATTCAGGAGATTGAAAATGTAAATTGTGCTCTTCGAGATAAAGAAACAATCCTGCTAAAAATCTTGACAATGGAAGATGTATAGATACTGGTTCAGAAGAAACATCGTATTGCAAACATGTAGCACTGTGATCTGCCAGCTCTCTAACTTGAGTTATTGCAGATTCAATTCTTGGTTGTTCAGAGAGCTTTTTTAATGTTGCTCTAAAAGCTTTAATTAAAACAATTTTATCGGAACCACACCATTCAAGAGCTAAACTAATAACTGGTGCAAGTTTAATATGCAAATTAAATGCAGATTCCCATTCGGGCTCGTATTCCATATGTTGTCCAACTTGTCTTAATACTGCATCCATACATTGCATACTGCAAAATAATTTTAACAATAATGAAATTCCTTGCAAAAATCCTCGTCTTAATTCGTCGGTCCAAACGTCCGGTTTGGCGCTGAGTAAATATCTTAAATCGTAAAGTATATATTGAGCTCTTTTAAATGTTGTATTGGGTGTGTTCCTTTCAAATTCTAATTTACCAGCGGAATTACACCTACGCGAACTTTCCGAAATGAATGTGTTCAACAAAATAAATAATACATCGTTATGCGCTATAAGATGATGTGCTAAAGTGGGAACCGTGAATAATTGTACGGACAAAGAAACTATTGAAAACGAATGATCGTGATCATCTCTAATGAAATCTTTCATGACTGAACCATAATTATAAGTGAATACAATAGCCAAAGATTTTTTACTTTCATATTCCATAAGCATTCCAGATATAAACAATCTGTGCCAAGCTGTTCTAGCAGATTTCCATAATTGCGAATCTCTCATTAGTATACCTTCGACAATTGATATTTCTGGTAATTTTGTGTTAAGTGCGACATTGCTAAAAAGTATTCTAAAACCTTCACATACACTTATAAATTGTTGTAACCAATTCAACAATTTCATAGCAAAGGTTTGATGAGCGATAACGTGAGCATGAACAACAAGAACTTTTAAAGCCCGAGTGCTGTTTCTTGATGTAAATCTTTCTATTTCAACTTTCAGCTCCTTGCAATGTTGAAATCTTGAACACTTTACAACTGATCTACCTTCTCTATCTACATTCGTCACATATTCGACGGCATCCCTTTGAGAACACTTCAAGACACGTGTTAATGTATTTATAACTTGTTCAAAAGTATGTGTCTCATCATTGAAAAGGACTGTGCAATAAGTATCCGTAGCGGCTAATAAGAATATAGGATCTTCGTCGGTTTCTTTAAAGCATAAATCTGATGGTAATCCTGGTGTATGTTCTAACGACAATAATTCATAGCAATATTTCAGTACGGCTTCAAAAGTAACAACTGCTCTTTCTGCAATATCGCCAGGCAGTTTATTCCCACAACCTTCTTTCGATTGAGTTCCAACTAAGTGTATCTTACAAAATGGTTCGTTTTTCCATGCTTCCGTATCACCACAATCACAGCAACCTCCACCATTTGAAGTTCCCATTTTATATTTATGATTACGATGAGCAGACTGTTTGAAACAGTCAACGCACAAAACACATGTAGAATCCATACCACATTCTCTGCAACTATATGTTGGTTCACCTATTTTAAATACTTTACCACATATGGACGGAGGGTTATCCATTTGACTAAGTTGTTTCAATACAACTTGTGGATCATCGTTGCAAATGAATTCTTCTAACGTATTGTAAAGTACTTTTTGTGCTTTCTCCTCGTCAAAACTCCAATCCAAACAATTGCCATTAGGTTCAGGACTGTAAATCTTAGGAACCCAAATCCTCCAATGTTCTTTAAAGTGAGTTAGTGAAAGTACACCTTTATTCATTTTCTCCATCCATACTTTGACGCATGATTTAACCATTTTGGGAAAGACAGGCAACTCTGATAACTCTATCGTTTCCATATTTTGATCGGAATGACTTTGAATATTATCCCCACTCATCTTGCATACTTTATGTCACCAAGAGGAAGAATACTGAAACATTTAAATATTCATTATTTTATTTAGCCAAATATAATCTTGGCATAAGTTTAAAAATTATGTAATATGCTTAACATATATCTTCTGCATGCACACTTTAAATACAAATACTATATTGTAACGACAAAGAATAATATTTTGCGTATTAAAACTTATATTGATTAGAAACTCCCCAAAAAAAATAATATTCCAAATAATAAATTTTACAACACAAAGACATCTTATATGCATCGGTGTGATCAAATGATTGATATTTTTTTATTGAAAGAAAAAAAAGAAAAAAGAAAATAAATTATAATATATACATATATCACACATCAATCAACGTGTATAAATAGCTATAATCATTCAATTAGTTACATCAATGAAACATTCATAAATTTCAACAAAAACTTCCTATACATAAAATCATAATTACCAGCTGGCAAAAAGAAAGTTATCTCAAGTGCATTGATCATTTTCTTTGTTTTATCTTTCTTCAATAGATACCAGATATTACTCTAAACATTTATTGTCTATTTGTTCTTAGATTAAAAGGTTGTTTATAAATTAGGCCAATGGTATGGTATGTTTAACGAACACATAATAAGTGAGAAATAATGAGATGGTAAAAAAGGAGTGAAAAAAAGAGAAAAAAAAAAGGAAATAAAAATAATTCAAGGGAAATATGTATACATATACATACCTACGCGTTACTTTAAAAGTAGAAGCGTAATTGTTTAAGTTAGATATTAGAAGATGTCAAACTATATTGAAATAGGCATTTACAAATTGTTCAATAGATATGAAAAACATTGCAAACATATATCTGAGTATGTTTCACCATCGTCCGTAGTATCACGGGATTTTCGCTACACTGAACTATTTATAACTTTATTCTTCGACAATACTCACTATTATGACGTCCAGGCCAAGGTTAATAAAAGATATCGAAGAGTAGTGTTCTTTGTTTCGCGAAATAATCTCGATTTTCGCGAATCCTATCGATGTTATGGCATTACAATTTGATCCCTTTTTTATTAACGCACACGCATTTAGCGCACATCTTCCTCTTCGCCTTAATTTATAGATTATCACGCTTTAACATTTCACTGAAATATGATTAAGTTATATATTTTTTCACAGCTGGCTTGAACAACGTACAAAATGGCTTGCGAACTTTAAAGACTGAGATCACTTCTATATAAGATACGTTTCCGAATAATCTTTCTCTCTCTTTTTTTCATTTAATATGTATACATATATATTATATTTTCTTAAATCATGAACTATGAATGATAAAGATAGACAATTTCTAAATACCCTATAACGTCAAAAGTAAGGTTAACACTCGTTACCAAAAGATCCATTACAAAAAATTTATTAATTTTTCGAATTATATAAATATCTGCAAAAGAAATAATAACAAATAATATTCTATTTCAATTATTTCATTTTTTGTTTTCTCTTGAAATTCAAAATGGCCGCTTACGTAATTGGAATTATTTTTCATTCTCTACCAATGGGAACGTAGGGATATTTGAACGACTGACGAGGAATCGAAATTTTAGTGTTTTTTTTTTTCCCCCCTTTTTATATCTTCTTTTTCTTTTTTTTAATTCAATTGATATTCCCTCACAATGCGTCAAACGAGAGAAAAAGAATGTTAGTGTTAAATAATATGATAGATTTACGAAAGAAAGATGAAATTCTTTCAAAATTTAATCATACGAACAGTACTTTGATTTCCTTTAAATTAACTTTGACGCATTTCTATTATCAGTGGTCCCTGTTCAGCCGCCGTGGAATGTCTTGAGCATGGACAAGGAAGAAGGGGGAAAAAATGGCGAGGACGCCTTGCAGTCTCCGTACTGTTTATGGTGTTACAGTTTTAGGAAGTGTCGTGTTAGTTTTAACAAGGAATAATGATTAATTTCATTTAAATCATTCTCCCTATTTGTTTTATTTGTGATTAAGACGCTAACGTTAGAAAATGTGATTATTTCCAATTGGTTCTAAAATATCAACAAGAATAAGCAAATTTTTCAACGTATTTCTGTTTCGAACAAGGGTAAGTTATTATTATAACCAAGAAAACATGTAATTTAAAAATTTTCATATTCTCTATATAAATATCTTAGATTATTTTCTTTTATTATTTTCTATTCGTATAACCTATATACGGATAACAATTTTAATCTCCCAATATTTCTTAATTTGATCTCTTTATAGTTTCCTTTTAAATGAACGCATTATCAAAATATTATTTATTTATTTGTTTTGTTTTCTTTTCTTTATATTTTCAGCTGTGAAAATGTCTACTGATTACAGTAGATCTGTTTTAAGGATGGTTGTAGCTCAAATCTGCCAAACCATCGGATGGCATTCAATTAATTCAACGCCATTAGAATTTATGGTAGATCTTATGGAAGAATATATGTTGCGTATATCAAAAGTTACACACCAATATGCAGAAGTTTGTAAGTAATTTTTAATATCAAATGAAGTCTTCTTAATAGAATTTGAGTTTAAAACTTGACAGTTTGAGTCCCAGGAGTCTTTTGAAAAATGCATTTCATTAATATGGCACTTTTCAATAAGAAATTTGAACACTGCAATGGTACTGCTTGGGACTCGAACGGTTGATATTTGTTGCATGTAAATATAAAATATTATAGGTATTCTCTTATTTGTGTGTGGTTTTTAAATTCTCTTCAATGTTTACATACTTTCAGTGGGAAGAACGGAACCTAATCTTGATGATTTAGGATTAGCTTTTAAACATATGAATATTGATATACAAGAATTAGCAGAATATGCTAAAAATGTAGATTCTGTTCCATGCGCTATCAATGTACCAAAATTTCCTGTCAAACGTGAGAATCATTTAAATTTCTTAAAGCCAGGTAGTCGTGAAGTAGTTACTAGACCTGTACATATTCATGAACATTTACCGGCTATGTATCCAGATACAGAAGGTAATTACAATTCTTTCTATTTGTCTTAAACTAATATATTGTATTTAAAAAAAATATACATATATATGGTAAATATATATATATATAAATAAAATGTATATATTTTTTTCTGGATTATTGATAACAAAGCATTAGTGTTTTGAATAAGAAATTCTAATTACAGAAGAGTACATAACAGATAAGCCTGAAAGTTTAACAAATGGTGTACAAGATGTATCATCTTCAAATGGAACATCGACACCGAGTTCAGTTGATGTTTCTCCTCATAGGATGTCTCCACAAGTAGTTTTTAAACGACCAGGAGATCCTGTTTCTTTTGAAAGTCCTATAGTAAAACGTGCTAAGGTATTAGAGGAAGGTAGACCATTACGTGAGATACACAGTGTAATGATGACCACGTCTGGTTTTTTATCACCCGCGCGAGAAGGGAAACTTCCAGAAGCGAGAACACCACATCAAACGTGCGCAGATTCCCCTCAACCAAGTTCTTATCCTATGGTTCCACCTGAGTTGAAATGTGATAAAAAACCAAAGAAGATCATAAAGAAGATACCGGATGATCGTAAACTTGATAAAGAAAATAAAAAGAAAAATAAGGCTAAGGAATTGTTTAAGCCAGATAAAATCGATGACACTAAAATTAAAAAGTTAGCTGGTATGAAAGAATTGGCTAAATTAAAGCCGTTAAAGCCAGGCGGTGGTAAATCGCAAACTAACTTAGCAGGTCCTTCGAGTAGACCACCTACTCCAAAATTAATACCAACTAAATCTACGGGTAGTCCTAAATTACCTAAACCTATCCAAGTTAAGGCTAAACCGGAAAAAGTAATAGATTTAACAAGTAGTCCACCATTACCAGAAAGAAAAGATGATAACATTGATAAGCTACCATCGGAACCCGATAAGCAAAAATTAAATATATTCAAAAAGATATCTAAATCTAGAGAAGACAAAGAAAAGGAAATACCAGAACAACACAAACATAAGGAGCTTGATTCGCGAGAAAGTTCACCTGGTTTAATCATAGATGAAAATCTTGAAAAGCATGCTCATAAAAATGATAGTGAAGTTAAAAAAGAAGAGAAGAAAACGCCACATACACCAGACGTTCATGTTCATCCAGAGGGCGACTTGATTGATATACAGAGTCCATCTTCGGATGTATATATGTTTGATGATATGTCACCTCCTGGGACTCCTAGTACACCTAAAACTCCAGAACTCAATGTCCCTACTTCTATCGATCAGAAAAAGAAAAAGAAGGAAAAAAGTAATAAAAAGAAAGAATCCAAAATAAGGAGTCCTAAGCGTTGTGTTAGTCCCAAAAAGGTAATTTTAAATATATCTATAAATACTTTTGTATGCATGTACAAGAGAATAATTCAAAAAATAATGAGTGCCATTATTATATTTCAGACAAAGATTTCTAATGATACAGTGGAGGTAGATGTAATGGATAGACCAAAAACTCCGCAAGCACCTGAACCACCGGTGCATAGAGAACCAACTCTTCCACCAACATTACCGTTTCCATTTTTCCCAGCATTTCCATCTGCTCCTGGTTTAATACCTCATCCAATAACACATCCAATATTTCCAAGATTTCCATTACCTTTGGGAAGAGGTGGACCAGGCCCACACCCAGCAATGCCGAATTTACCTTTACCACCTCGTTTTCTTAATCCAGCTATAAAGCCAGAAGATTTTTCATTATCAAAAATAAAACCCATGGAATGTGAAAAATCACCTAGGGAATTAATACCTCCTATCGTACCTATTATGAAATATGATACGATAGAAAAGGAAAAGGCAGATAAAATAAAGGTGGTTAAACAAGATAAAGAAATAATCACACATATCCCTGGAAATATAATTGCACCGCCTATTGTTTCTGCACCTGTTGCACCAATTGTACCCATTGCACCAGTACCTGTTGTGCCATTGTTACCTTCAAAGAAATCTAAAATTGATAAAGCAGATAAAGTTGATAAGGTAACAATTATATTGGTGTGTATTGAAATAGTATAGAAATTGTAGAATTTATTTCTACCATTCCTATAAATTATTTTTTTTTTTTTTAAACAATCTATTTTATCTTATAATCGTATTTACGAAATTATACATATTATTAATTTTGCAGAAATCGAAAGAGCATAAAAAAGAAAAGAAAGAGAAATTAAAGAAAAAGAAAGATAAAAAAGAAAAACATAAAGAAAAAGGAGAAAAGGTTAAAGAGAAAAAAGATAAAGCTGATAAGAAGGAAAAAGTGGAAAAAATCAAAGAAAAGAAGGAGAAAAAAGAGAAGCGAAAAGAGAAGGAAGTAAGAGAAATGCATTTTAATAAATATTATTAAAAGAAAATCCGATAATTATATTTTATATAGATTAGTGTAATATATTAAAATGATCTTATTATAATGAAAAATTTTATTATTCTACACAGAAAGAAGATAAAAATGCAGAAGCTGTACCAAAAATTACATTAAAGTTAGGACCTGCATCTCCAAGACCACCAACGCCAGACAGTATGCTAATGAAGAAGATGTAAGTTAAAATAATATTCAATTTTCTATGCAAATATTTACAATAATACATGTAATATATTTGAATTATTTAATTATAGAACGATTAAGCCATTATTGAAAAAACCGGATGAGGATACGAAAAGAGAACCTAGTCCAGAATTGGCCAAAATATCAGCATTGGTAACAAGACCGCCGAAGCAAAAGTCAGCAAGTAAGAAAATAGAGGAGGGAACATTAGATGGCAGCCCTGCTCTTCCTACAGATTCTTCTTTCTCTCTCAATTTTGCTACTGTGCCACTTGCAACAGTTCCTCGAGCAAAGAAATCTCTGTTTAAAAATTTACCTCAAAGAGAGTCAACACCTCCGCCTCACTTTGATCCAACTCCTAAACTTCCAAGTCCTTTAATTACGCAACAGCAATCACCGCCGTTTTACTACGTAAGTACGCTTATTATGATATAAAATTAAAAAAAAAAAAAGAATATAGATATATATATACAATATTTAATATCAGAAACATGATAAAAACAAAGAGTTTATTAATTAATTAAACACATAAACAGAAATAAAGATTTTCTTCAAAATTATTTAAAAGAATGTTTTCTTTTTTTATATAGTAAAATAATTTATATTGATATATTCTTATTATTAAATTACTGTTAATGTGAATATATGCATTAATAGTAATTTTTATTTATTTTTTCTTTAAAAG